TGCCTATAGTTCAACCTTGCTCCTTCCAGGATTCAGCCCATCAGTCAAGCCTTTGACCACTTGCAAATAGCCATTTACATCGTTCCATCAGGTTGGTTTTTGTTTGTTTGTTTTTGCAAAAAATTCATACATATATAAGTAATACTCAATGTATTCAAAGTTCTTTTCATTGGAAATATTTCCTCTGTCCACTCACTTTGAAACCAGAAGTCATTGATCTCTTGCCATAAAAACTTCATTGGACATACATTCTGCTATTTTACAGAGGTAAATGAAAGCCATAGTTTGCATTCTCAAAGAAAAAATATCCTGAGAAAAGATTCAAGTGACCATAGTTTATTTGGGATACGCAGATCACATTGGCAGAGAGTTGAGAAAATGATGAGGCAGAAATGTGTATAAAGCCAGTATCAAGTTTACAACGAAGTGCAAACCTCAGGGAAAAGTCTCCTAAAGGATGGAAAACACACACTTTGGAATTGTCTTACTTGACAAATGAAGGAGCCAGAGTCTTTATAAAAAGGTCTCCAGAATTACTGAGTGAATGTTTTTGTTCGGTGACATGCACTGACATCATGACTTTCTGCTTTAATATGAATATAACCCTAAGACATAAAAGTGAACGTCTGGTGGGAGGAAATTGGTCTGAGCACACTAAGCCCCCAAATATGTACAAGTCAATTTGGAAAGCTATATATAACAAATGACTAATTAGTGGGTTGCTCAAACAATAACATGCATTTCCTACAGTTCTGCAGGTTGGGATATCCAAGATCAAGGTGCTGGCAGGGTAGGTGCCCACTTAGATGGATTTACCTCCTGGTTTGCCAATGCCTGCTTTATTTCTGTATCCTTCAATGACAAAGAGAGAGAGAGAGAGAGAGAGAGAGAGAGAGAGAGAGAGAGAGAGAGAGAGAGAGAAGACTCTGGTCTCTTTTTGTATCAGATCACTAATCATATCATGGGGGACTTGCCCTCATATCTTCAGCCAAATCTAATTACCTATCATAGATACCGCCTCCAAATGCCATTATATTGGATACTAGAGGCCCGGTGCACATAAATTTGTGCACTCAGGGGGCTCCCTCAGCCCAACCTGTGCCCTCTCCCAGTCTGGGACCCCTCAGGGGATGACCACCTGCTGGCTTAGGCCCGCTCCCCGGGGGATTGGGCCTAACCTGGCAGTCAGACATCCCTCTGACAGCCCGGGAGCCCTCATGGAATGTCCACTTGCCAGCAGGGAGCAGGCACAAGCTGTAGTCGGACATCCTTAGTGCTGCTGAGGAAGCAGGAGAGATTCCCACCACCACTGCTGTACTGGCAGCCATCAGCCTGGCTTGTGGCTGAGCAGAGCTCCCCCTGTGGGAGCGCACTGACCACCAGGGGGCAGCTGCTGCATTGAGCGTCTGCCCCCTGGTGGTCAGTGTGTGTCATAGTGACCATTCATTCCCAGTCATTCTGCTGTTAGGGTCAATTTGCATATTTCCCTTTTATTATATAGGACTAGGGCTTCAACATATGAATTTTGAGAGGAAACACTCAGGCTGTAAAAGTGAGGTAACTGGAAACATCATCTGCAATCTCCCCTTGATACTCTCAACCTTCCTCTGCTTCTTCAAATTGTGAACATCCACAATTTCTAGATTAAGAAGAATAATTAGAAAAGGAAAAAGAGGAAGAGAATTCTACACCCCACAAAACTAGAAAAGGAAGAAATAAGGAAGATCAAAGTTAATAGAGAAAGAAAATAACAAAGAAAAAAGCTGAAAAAAAATAGACTAAGAAGACAATAAAAAGAAGCAATGAAACCAAGAGCAGGTATTTTGTAAAGAAGGAATATTGACAAACCTTTAGTTAGACTCGCTAAGAAAAATAGTAATAAGACTCAAATAAACAAAATCAGAAATGAAAGAAACAATGCTACAATTGATATCACAGAAAACCTACCAAGAATAATTTGTAAAGAAATTGAAAATCTGAAGTCATCCTATATAATAAAGAGCTAATATGCTAATTAGACTGAACAGCAGAATGACCATTTGGACATCCTTCTGGACAACCTTCGGGACGAAGCTGGGGATGTGAGGGCTGGCCAAGGCAGCCAGGGCTGTGAGGGCTGCGAGGGCCGGACGAGGCTGCAAGGGGAAAGCCCCTTGCACGTATTCTGTGCACCGGGCCTCTAATATTACTAATAAATTGACTCCATAATAGAAAACCTCCCATAAACAAAAGTCTACTAGCAGATGGCTTCACTAGTGTATTCCAACGATCATTTAAAGAGGAATTAATACCAATGTTTCTCAAACTCTTTCAAATAACAGAAGAGGAAGGAACAATTTCCAATCTCATTTATAAGGCCAGCATTACCCTGATACCAAAACCAGACAAGGACAACAAAGAAAGAAAATTACATGTCAATATCCCTGATGAGCATAGATGGAAAATCCTCAACAAGATATTAGCAAAAAGAATTCAATGAAAGACTGAAAGACTTTTACACCATGATCAAGTGGATCTGATTCCAGGGATGCAAAGGTGGCATGACATCTGCAAATCAATGTGACACACCACATTAACAAAGTGAAGGATAAAAATCCTATGACTGTCTTAATAGAGGCAGAAAAAGCATTAGCCAAAATTCAATACCTATTTATTATAAAACTATCAACAAAGAGGTCATATAGGGAACATACCTCAACATAATAGTGGCCATATATGAAAAGCCCACAGCTAACTTCAAACTCTATCGTGGAAAGCTGAAAGCTTTTTATATAAGACTAGAGCCCCAGTGCACGAATTTGTGCATGGGTGGGGTCCCTCAGCCTGGCAGGCAATTGGGGCCACAGGAGGTTGGCTGGTGCAGGTGGTTGGCTGTGGGAGCACACTGATCACCAGGGGGCAGCTCCTGCATTGAGTGTCTGCCCCTTGGTGGTCAGTGCGTGTCATAGCGACCAGTCAATGGGTCGTTCAGTTGCTTAGGCTTTTATATATATAAAATCAGACACAAGACAAGAATGCCCACTCTTACTTAACATAGTATTTTATTCAACATAATATTGAACTCTTATTCAACATAGTATTATTGCGAGTCCTAGCCAAAGCAATTAGTAAGAAAAATAAGGTATCCAAATCAGTAAAGAAGAGGTAAAACTGACTCTATTTATAGATGATGTAATATATAATGAGAGAAAAACATAAAGACTCCACCAAAAAACAGTTAGAACTAATCAACAATTTCAAAAAAATTGCAGTCTATACAGTCAATATACAAAATGCTGAATTTCCACACATTAACAAACCATCAGAAAGAGAAATTCAGATAATAATTCCCCTTATAATTGCATCAAAATGAAAAATATATAGAAATAAATTTAACCAAAGGGATAAAAGACCTGTGACTGTCACTAAAGGACATAAATGAAAGAAATTGGAGAAGACACAAATAATGGAAGAATATCTGTGCTCATGGAATGGAAAAATTAATATTAATGTCCACAATGCTTAAAGCAATCTAAAATTCAATGCAATTAATATTAAAATTTTAATGGCATTTTTTTTTCCCACAGAAATGGAAAAAATCCTAAAATTTATATGGAACTAAAAAAATTTCTGAATAGCCAAAACAACCTTGAGAAAGAAGAGCAAAGGTACAGGCATCATGCTCCCTGATTTCAAACTATATTACAAACCTACAGTGGTCAAAATAGTAAGTTATTGGCAATAAAAACACACCCACATATCAATGGAGCAGAATACAGAGCCTAGAAATAAATCCACATATTATATGGTCAATATCTTTATGACAAAGGAGCCACGATATAAATTGGGGAATGCATAGTCTTCTCAATAAATGGTGTTGGGAAAACTGACAAATATTAACTAGACTTATTGTGGTGATCATTTGCAATATATACAAACATGAATCATTATGTCCCACACTTGAAACTAATATAATGTTTTATGTCAACTGTACCTCAATAAAAAGGAAAGTATAGCTATATGCCACTAGAATTCATAAGGCTCACAGTATCAGAAAAAGCAGGTGACCCTGCTGTAGTGAAATATTGAGACTCCTCTCTGTTCTTTCACACTGTTGACTATGTGCTTTCCCTACGACATGGCTATTTCACTCCTACAAATTTACCTAGAAAGAGAGAATTGAGCACAAAAACATTGAAAAATTTATGGCTGACCATTTTCCACATTTGTTGGAATACATCAATTACACAACAAATACACTTTAACCATCATATATCTCACCCATTTGCCTCAATTTTTAGAAGAAAGTATGCGTAAGTTAGGATGTCTCACCTGAGATGCTGACCCAGTAATAAAACAGAGATGGAACATGAATGCATTGATGTTCTGAAACCTAGTGGGTGGCTTCTGCCTCTACTCTCCTGTTTTGATGCTGATTTGCATTAGAGGAAAAAATAAGTGATATGTCCTCTACCCACGGGTATCTGATGGAACTGGAAAACAATTTCTAGTAGGTGGCCACAGGCAAATAATGCTAGAGTTCTCAATCCAGATTCTGGGAGATCAGACTTACACACAAGCAGGACTCCATTCATACAGAACTCACTGGCTCCTGACATCTCAGGACACTTCCCAATATTAACCAGGCCAACGGTGTAAAGATGAGAAGAGACAACTGTTCTGACCTTCACCAAGCCAGCAGGAAAGACCACCGACCACATGATGTCACAGGACTAGAAATGTACCTGAGGATGATTCCTGTTGCATTTCTGGAAAGCGCTGTAAATTGGGATTCACAATTAAGGAAAAGATCAAACAGTTATTTACATAATCCTCAAAACACTCAGAGAACAACTTCCTCCTTGACAATTCCACAGTAATTACCAAAACAACCAGGAGGAAAGTCCTGCTTATTGGTCCCAACATTGGGTTCCAGAGTATAAAAGTCTCGGAACAGAAGGAATCAACAGAATCTAGGAAACTCACCTCTGAACAGAAGCCCACCCTCCACACCTGACAAAATGAGCTGCTCCTCTTGCTGCCAGCCCACCTGCTACAGGACCACATGCAGAACCACCTGCTGGAGGCCCGCCTGCTGTGGGTCCAGCTGTTGTGGGTCCTGCTGCTGCCAGCCTTGCTGCCGCCCTTGCTGTGGGTCCAGCTGCTGCCAGCCTTGCTGCCGCCCTTGCTGTGTGAGCAGCTGCTGCCAGCCTTGCTGCTGTAGCACTCCCTGCTGCCAGCCCAGCTGCTGTGGGTCCAGCTGTGGCGGGTCCTGCTGCTGCTCACCCTGCTGCCAGCAAGTTTGCTGCAGTCCCGTGAATGTCTGCAGAACCTGCTACCACCCCACCTGCTGCTGCGTGCCTGGGTGCATAAGCTATGGCTGCGGATCCAGCTGTGGCCAGCCCTGCTGCTGCTGATCACCTTGCCAGACAACCACCATCTGCACACATATCATCTGGGAACTGATTTGCCATTATGGAAACAAATGAACCTTCTGGGTTTTGTTGACAACCAGCAAGCGAGACCATAACTTCTGTGACTCATCTGCCTGTTTAAAGAGTCAGCTGGATGGAGTGCAGAGGACTTCCCCCACTTTGTGCATCCTCGATGTGCAGTCATGGTCTTGCCTTTAACTCTGAAGTCAGGACCAATGGCTCCCTCTAAATAACTGAGTCAACAAATCTTCCTATTCCATTAATAGGTTTCTGTAACTGAATAATAATCCTCCTAATCACAATTCCTTACAATGTACTGATGATTCTTATATAAGACTTTCTTCCTTCAGGATCACATTGAGTTGTCTGACTAGATGGAAGACTCTTCCCTATGTGTTTCTTTTTTTTTTTTTAAATATATTTTATTGATTTTTTTACAAAGAGGAAGGGAGAGGGATAGAGAGTCAGAAACATCGATGAGAGAGAAACATCGATCAGCTGCCTTCTGCACACTCCCCACTGGGTATGTGCCCGCAACCAAGGTACATGCCCTTAACCAGAATCGAACTTAGGACCCCTGAGTCCGCAGGCCGACGCTCTATCCACTGAGCCAAACCAGCTGGGCCCTATGTGTTTCTTAATAAAGTCTTTACCATAAGCCATCCATATTGTGTGTGATTTATTGTACAGCATCCTGATACAGGGATAGTAATGTATACTGTTATGCTAAATGCATCATTCATTCTGAGCATCATAACAGCCTCCATAATTATCATCTACAATTTCAGAAAAAGATCAAATGTATTGCGTAATGTCACAAGTTAATAATAATGACCAGACTCAGATCCAGGACTGGGTCTTCTGTGCCTGCTCAAGACACTGACATTTACATGTCAAAGATGTAGAGGTCTGAGCCTCGGGTTACAATACCCTTGGTAAGCTGTGGTGTTGCCATTGCTCAGATAAGGTTGTCATGGGGCACGTACACACCATGAGACACCCCAGTAAATTCCCACATTCCAGATGTACTTCTCCCTGCTTTCTACATCTTCGTGCTAATTATCACTCACCAAATAGTAACTGCTTTCTCTGCCTGCTACTCACTGTTATGAGGAGTCTAAACTGACCGGATGATAGCTGTAACATTAGATTATGTTCCTGACAAAATGTACGTTCATAGGAGTATAGTTACCAATCCAGAAAAGCCCAAAGGCCTGATGCACTAGGAAGCCGAGATTACAAAGTATATCACAGGGGGTTAAAGTGAGAGGGTCACCTTTACTTGCACCCATTGCTTCTGAATCCACGGATACTAACCTTTATGAATACATAGAGTACTACATATATGTCAACCTAACAATGGTTATTGGGTCAAAATACATACCACATTTAGAAGGCAATATATCAATCCTACAGGTCATCACTCCATGGTGGTGTCTTTGCTACACGCCTAGAACACTATTACAATGTTTTAACCAGGCCAGTAATTTCAATGTCATGTGATGTATGATAGGACAACTAGATCCATGGTTATGTGCCTATTGTTGACCTTGTTCTTTATAAAGTCCCCGAATCAAAAACGTTGCTGTGCAGCATCCTATAACCACACAGTGTACTCTGGTAGATAAGACTGCAGACAAGGAAGATAATTCCACACACCAAACATGCAATCATAGAAAGGGAGAACTGCAGTCTTTTCAATGAGGAACATTGTAGAACATTGCTCTGTGTGGGTGATTACTTTTCAAGACGGATATTACAGATAAGGATTCAACACCATTCTCTGCTTATGACAACAGCATATAGAGCAGAGGTGCCGTGGGGAGAGGGAGTCCTTGCTCTTGGTTCACACAAAGCCTCTGTCCCTTCCTCCATGGCTACTTTGCTCATGCTCCCTGTGCAAGTATTGGTGCACTAGAGAAGGGACAAAGGCTGAGCTGTATCAAACTCATAGTTGTTCAGTGTCTCCTAAATGGTGGATATGCTCTGGGGGGTTGGGCATTGAGGTGGGACAGAATGTGGAAACACTTTCTGTCCACAGACCATCTCCCTCTACATGGTTCTTCTCCAAATGCCTACAGTCCAACCTGCTCCTTCCAGGATTCAGCCCATCAGTCAAGCCTTTGACCACTTGCAAATAGCCATTTACATCGTTCCATCAGGTTGGTTTTTTGTTTGTTTGTTTTTGAAAAAAATTCATACATATATAAGTAATACTCAATGTATTCAAAGTTCTTTTCATTGGAAATATTTCCTCTGTCCACTCACTTTGAAACCAGAAGTCATTGATCTCTTGCCATAAAAACTTCATTGGACATACATTCTGCTATTTTACAGACGTAAATGAAAGCCATAGTTTGGATTCTCAAAGAAAAAATATCCTGAGAAAGGATTCAAGTGACCACAGTTTATTTGGGATGCGCAGATCACATTGGCAGAGAGTTGAGAAAATGATGAGGCAGAAATGTGTATAAAGCCAGTATCAAGTTTACAACGAAGTGCAAACCTCAGGGAAAAGTCTCCTAAAGGATGGAAAACACACACTTTGGAATTGTCTTACTTGACAAATGAAGGAGCCAGAGTCTTTATAAAAAGGTCTCCAGAATTACTGAGTGAATGTTTTTGTTCGGTGACATGCACTGACATCATGACTTTCTGCTTTAATATGAATATAACCCTAAGACATAAAAGTGAACGTCTGGCGGGAGGAAATTGGTCTGAGCACACTAAGCCCCCAAATATGTACAAGTCAATTTGGAGAGCTATATATAACAAATGACTAATTAGTGGATTGCTCAAACAATAACATGTATCTCACAGTTCTGCAGGTTGGGATATCCAAGATCAAGGTGCTGGCTGGTAGGGTATCACTAATCCTATCATGGGGGACTTGCCCTCATATCTTCAGCCAAATCCAATTACCTATCATAGATGCCGCCTCCAAATGCCATTATATTGGATACTAGAGGCCCGGTGCACATAAATTTGTGCACTCGGAGGGCTCCCTCAGCCCAACCTGTGCCCTCTCCCAGTCTGGGAACCCTCAGGGGATGACCACCTGCTGGCTTAGGCCCGCTCCCCGGGGGATTGGGCCTAACCTGGCAGTCAGACATCCCTCTGACAGCCCGGGAGCCCTCGTGGAATGTCCACTTGCCAGCAGGGAGCAGGCACAAGCTGCAGTCAGACATCCTTAGCGCTGCTGAGGAGGCGGGAGAGACTCCCACCACCACCGCTGTACTGGCAGCCATCAGCCTGGCTTGTGGCTGAGCAGAGCTCCCCCTGTGGGAGCGCACTGACTACCAGGAGGCAGCTGCTGCATTGAGCGTCTGCCCCCTGGTGGTCAGTGTGTGTCATAGTGACCATTCATTCCCAGTCATTCTGCTGTTAGGGTCAATTTGCATATTTCCCTTTTATTATATAGGACTAGGGCTTCAACATATGAATTTTGAGAGGAAACACTCAGGCTGTAAAAGTGAGGTAACTGGAAACATCATCTGCAATCTCCCCTTGATACTCTCAACCTTCCTCTGCTTCTTCAAATTGTGAACATCTACAATTTCTAGATTAAGAAGAATAATTAGAAAAGGAAAAAGAGGAAGAGAATTCTACACCCCACAAAACTAGAAAAGGAAGAAATAAGGAAGATCAAAGTTCATAGAGAAAGAAAATAACAAAGACAAAAGCTGAAAAAAAGTAGACTAAGAAGACAATAAAAAGAAGCAATGAAACCAAGAGCAGGTATTTTGTAAAGAAGGAATATTGACAAACCTTTAGTTAGACTCGCTAAGAAAAATAGTAATAAGACTCAAATAAACAAAATCAGAAATGAAAGAAACAATGCTACAATTGATATCACAGAAAATGTAACAAGAATAATTTGTAAAGAAATTGAAAATCTGAAGTCATCCTATATAATAAAGAGCTAATATGCTAATTAGACCGAACAGTAGAATGACCATTTGGACATCCTTCTGGACAACCTTCCGGACGAAGCTGGGGCTGTGAGGGATGGCCAAGGAAGCCAGGAGTGCAAGGGCCAGCCGAGGCTGCGAGGGGCTGAGAGGGCCAGCCGAGGCTTCAAGGGCCAAGCCCCTTGCACGAATTTTGTGCACCAGGCCTCTAATATTACTAATAAATTGACTTCATAATAGAAAACCTCCCACAAACAAAAGTCTACAAGCAGATGGCTTCACTAGTGAATTCCAACGATCATTTAAAGAGGAATTAATACCAATGTTTCTCAAACTCTTTCAAATAACAGAAGAGGAAGGAACAATTTCCAATCTCATTTATAAGGCCAGCATTACCCTGATACCAAAACCAGACAAGGACAACAAAGAAAGAAAATTACATATCAATATCCCTGATGAGCATAGATGGAAAATCCTCAACAAGATATTAGCAAAAAGAATTCAATGAAAGACTGAAAGACTCATACACCATGATCAAGTGGAACTGATTCCAGGGATGCAAAGGTGGCATGACATCTGCAAATCAATGTGACACACCACATTAACAAAGTGAAGGATAAAAATTCTATGATTGTCTTAATAGAGGCAGAAAAAGCAATAGCCAAAATTCAATACCTATTTATTATAAAACTATCAACAAAGAGGGCATATAGGGAACATACTTCAACATAATAGTGGCCATATATGAAAAGCTCACAGCTATCTTCAAACTCTATCGTGGAAAGCTGAAAGCTTTTTATATAAGACTAGAGGCCCAGTGCACGAATTTCTGCACAGGTGGGGTCCCTCAGCCTGGCAGGCAATTGGGGCCACAGGAGGTTGGCTGGTGCAGGAGGTTGGCTGTGGGAGCACACTGATCACCAGGGGGCAGCTCCTGCATTGAGTGTCTGCCCCTTGGTGGTCAGTGTGTGTCATAGCGACCAGTCAACCGGTTGTCCAAGTCTCTTAGGCTTTTATATATATGTAGATCAGACGCAAGACAAGAATGCCCACTCTTACTTAACATAGTATTTTATTCAACATAATATTGAACTCTTATTCAACATAGTATTACTGTGAGTCCTAGCCAAAGCAATTAGTAAGAAAAATAAGGTATCCAAATCAGTAAAGAAGAGGTAAAACTGACTCTATTTATAGATGATGTAATATATAATGAGAGAAAAACATAAAGACTCCACCAAAAAACAGTTAGAACTAATCAACAATTTCAAAAAAATTGCAGTCTATACAGTCAATATACAAAATGCTGAATTTCCACACATTAACAAACCATCAGAAAGAGAAATTCAGATAATAATTCCCCTTATAATTGCATCAAAATGAAAAATATATAGAAATAAATTTAACCAAAGGGATAAAAGACCTGTGACAGTCACTAAAGGACATAAATGAAAGAAATTGGAGAAGACACAAATAATGGAAGAATATCTGTGCTCATGGAATGGAAAAATTAATATTAATGTCCACAATGCTTAAAGCAATCTAAAATTCAATGCAATTAATATTATAATTTTAATGGCATTTTTTTCCCACAGAAATGGAAAAAATCCTAAAATTTATATGGAACTAAAAAAATTTCTGAATAGCCAAAACAACCTTGAGAAAGAAGAGCAAAGGTACAGGCATCATGCTCCCTGATTTCAAACTATATTACAAACCTACAGTGGTCAAAATAGTAAGTTATTGGCAATAAAAACACACCCACATATCAATGGAGCAGAATACAGAGCCTAGAAATAAATCCACATATTATATGGTCAATATCTTTATGACAAAGGAGCCACGAATATAAGTTGGGGAATGCATAGTCTTCTCAATAAATGGTGTTGGGAAAACTGACAAATATTAACTAGACTTATTATGGTGATCATTTGCAATATATACAAACACGAATCATTATGTCCCACACTTGAAACTAATATAATGTTTTATGTCAACTGTACCTCAATAAAAAGGCAAGTATAGCTATATGCCACTAGAATTCATAAGGCTCACAGTATCAGAAAAAGCAGGTGACCCTGCTGTAGTGAAATATTGAGACTCTGCTCTCTGTTCTTTCACACTGTTGACTATGTGCTTTCCTTACGACATGGCCATTTCATTCCTACAAATTTACCTAGAAAGAGAGAATTGAGCACAAAAACACTGAAAAATTTATGGCTGACCATTTTCCACATTTGTTGGAATACATCAATTACACAACAAATACACTTTAACCATCATATATCTCACCTGTTTGCCTCAATTTATAGAAGAAAGTATGCGTAAGTTAGGATGTCTCACCTGAGATGCTGACCCAGTAAGAAAACAGAGATGGAACATGAATGCATTGATGCTCTGAAACCTAGTGGGTGGCTTCTGCCTCTACTCTCCTGTTTTGATGCTGATTTGCATTAGAGAAAAAAATAAGTGATATGTCCTCTACCCAAGGGTGTCTGATGGAACTGGAAAACAAGTTCTAGTAGGTGGCCACAGGCAAATAATGCTAGAGTTCTCAATCCAGATTCTGGGAGATCAGACTTACTTACACACAAGCAGGGCTCCATTCATACAGAACTCACTGGCTCCTGACATCTCAGGACACTTCCCAATATTAACCAGGCCAACGGTGTAAAGATGAGAAGAGACAACTGTTCTGACCTTCACCAAGCCAGCAGGAAAGACCACCGACCACATGATGTCACAGGACTAGAAATGTACCTGAGGATGATTCCTGTTTCATTTCTGGAAAGCGCTGTACATTAGGATTCACAATTAAGGAAAAGATCAAACAGTTATTTACATAATCCTCAAAACACTCAGAGAACAACTTCCTCCTTGACAATTCCACAGTAATTACCAAAACAACCAGGAGGAAAGTCCTGCTTATTGGTCCCAACATTGGGGGTCCAGGGTATAAAAGCCCCCAAAGAGAAGACATCAGAATCTGAGAAACTCACCTCTGAACAGAAACCCACCCTCCACACCTGACACCATGTGCTGCTCCCCTTGCTGCCAGCCCACCTGCTGCAGGACCACCTGCTGGAGGCCCACCTGCTGTGGGTCCAGCTGTGGATCCTGCTGCTGCCAGCCTTGCTGCCGCCCTTGCTGTGGGTCCAGCTGCTGCCAGCCTTGCTGCCGCCCTTGCTGTGTGAGCAGCTGCTGCCAGCCTTGCTGCTGTAGCACTCCCTGCTGCCAGCCCAGCTGCTGTGGGTCCAGCTGTGGCGGGTCCTGCTGCTGTTCTCCCTGCTGCCAGCAAGTTTGCTGCAGTCCCGTGAATGTCTGCAGAACCTGCTACCACCCCACCTGCTGCTGCGTGCCTGGGTGCATAAGCTATGGCTGCGGATCCAGCTGTGGCCAGCCCTGCTGCTGCTGATCGCCTTGCCAGACAACCACCATTTGCACACATGTCTGTGAACTGATTTGCCATTATGGAAACAAATGAACCTTCTGGGCTTTGTTGACAACCAGCATGTGAGACCATAACTTCTGTGACTCATCTGCCTGTTTAAAGAGTCAGCTGGATGGAGTGCAGAGGACTTCCCTCAGTCTCTTCCTCCCGTGTATGTGGATCTTGCCCCCACTTTGTGCATCCTCGATGTGCAGTCATGGTCTTGCCTTTAACTCTGAAGTCAGGACCAATGGCTCCCTCTAAATAACTGAGTCAACAAATCTTTCTATTCCATTAATAGGTTTCTATAACTGAATAATAATCCTCCTAATCACAATTCCTTAAAATGTAATCATGATTCTTGTATAAGACTTTCTTCCTTCAGGATCACATTGAATTGTCTTACTAGATGCAGGGCTCTTCTTTATGTGTTTCTTAATAAAGTCTATACCATAAGCCATCCATATTGTGTATATTTATTGTACAGCATTCCTGATTTAAATACATATTGCATACTATATGTATCATTCATTCTGAGCGCAATAGCTCCCACAATTATGATCTACAATTTTAGAAAAACAAATTCATTGCATAATGTCACAAGCTAATAATATTGACCAGACTCAGATCCAGGACTGGGTTTTCTGTTCCTGCTCAAGACACTGACATTTACATGTCAAAGATGTAGAGGTCTGAGCCTCTGGTTACTGAACCCTTCGCAAGCTGTGGTGTTGTCACTGCTCAGATAAGGTTGACAATGAGCCTGCACACACCATGAGACACCCCAATAAATTCCCACATTCCAGATGTACTTCTCCCTGCTTTCTACATATTCGTGGTAATTATCACTCACCAAATAGTAACTGCTTTCTCTGCCTGCTACTCTACTCATGGGAAAATTCTAAGCTCACCAGATGATAGTTATAAAATTACATGGTATTACTTGATAAAAAGTGCTTTCTGAGAAGTAAAAGTACCAATCCAGAAGAAACTAGAGGCATGATGCTCTAGGAAGCCCCAATTCCCAAGCATGTTACGGGGGATTCACATGAGAGGGTCACCTTTACTTTCACCCATTATTTCTAAATCCATGATACTAACTTTCATGAATACATGTAGTACTACATATATGTCAAGCAAATAATGGTCATTGAACCAAAATATATGCCACATTTAGAAGACAATATATCAATCCCCCAGGTTGTCATCTTTATGGTGGCATCTTTGCTGCACACCGAAAACACCATGCTCATTTTTTATCAGTCCAGCAATTCCTCTGTCATGTGATGTATGGTAGGGCAAGTAGATCCACAGGACAAGTAGATCCATGATTATGTGCCTATTGTTGACCTTGTTCATCATAAAGTGGGTCCCTTGGTCCCAAAATGTTGCTATCCAGCATCCTGCCACAATAGGCTGTAAGCTCGTGGGTAGCACTGCAGACAAAGAAGACAATTCCACACACCAAACTCACAACCATAGACAGGAAAAATCGCTGTGTTTTCAATGTGGAAGTGGTACAAGTAGAACATTGCTCTGTGTGGGTGATTACTTTTCAAGATGGATATTACAGATAAGGATTCAACACCATTCTCTGCTTATGACAACAGCACATAGAGCAGAGGAGCCGTGGGGAGAGGAAGTCCTTACTTTTGGTTCACACAAAGCCTCTGTCCCTTCCTCCATGGCTACTTTGCTCATATTTCCTGTGAAAGTGTTGGTGCACTTGAGAAGGGACACAGGCTGAGCTGTTTCAAACTCAGAGTTGTCCAGTGTCTCCTAAATGGTGGATACTCTCTGCGGGGGGCATTGAAGTGGAACACAAAGTGCAAACACTTTCTGTCCACAGACCATCTCCCTCTACATGATTCTTCTCCAAATGCCTATAGTCCAACCTGCTCCTTCCAGGACTGTGAGCAGTCAGTCAAGGCTTTCACCACTGGCAAATAGTCAATTAACATCGTTCCCTCGGGCCACTTTTTTAATCCAAAAATACATACACATATAAATAATGCTCAATATACTCCTCAGAGTTGTTTTGACTCGAAATATTTCCTCTGTCCACTGCCTTTGAAACTAGAAGTTGATCTCTTGCCATAAAAACTCCATTGGGCATAAATTCTGCTATTGGGGTTATCAATTAATGAATTTTGAGGTATTCCGTGTCCATATATTATAGTAATTGTAGGTTTTTCGGGAATAAAATGGAATTGTGCTAAAAATGGTCATCCTTGTGTTCATTAGCCATGGACGTCATCGCTACACCATGATCTTCTCCCTGGTTTGGGAGAAGACCTACCATTATTCCTGGTTTGTGATGTTTATAATTTGTAACATTGAGGTCAGTTGTACTAAGTCAGAGATAAAGAGATAAGCAAGAGAGAAATAAATCTTAGCTTATTAAGGGAAAAGAAAAGGGAAAGTTACTATTCTCTACTAAAAATAAGGGTGATGAATTGATTTGTTTTTGTCATGTCTGTTGAAAACATAAGAACAGTGGTATCTCCAAGAAAGTATCTGCCAGCAGACTGGCTGCCCCAGTAAAAGAAAGGAAAATAGAGGAAGTAACACTTCCAGATTAATCCATGGATGGTCATAATATGTAAGATGGTAGCTGGATAATAAAACAAAATATTTGTAAGGGATGATTATATGGTATAGGTAAGAAACAATTCATGAGTTGGCATAAAGAATACACTATATTTCCCTTAACAGTAAAACTAGTGAGTGGCAGAGCAGGAACCTGAGGACTTTTCCATATGATTTAAACCTCATAACCAAAATCAATTGTACTTACTTCCACAATAAAGAACTTATGGTTGAAGATAAAATCAGAGATAAACAGATGTACAATCCACAGAAAATGGATAATGGAAACTAGAAGCATCTTACAAAATCGGCACAGATGCCAAGTAGTAAGAATAGTAACAAATGTCCATACATTTCAGGATCTTATTATATTCCATCAAACCATAATCTAGGAACAACTACAATATTAAGAGAAACTACTCTTAACAATTTCTTCACAATAAGGATCTATTTGGCAATGTCAATTTCATGGTCCTTGAGAAAAATTGAGCTTCATAAAATTCATGCACTCAACAGGGAAATGCTGTCCTTCATCAGAAGTGCATTCCACGAGGTGGGGAAACACATGCAAGAGATAGAGTGAAGGGAATGCGCTGCTGAAGCAGGACTATCAGGGGACAAAGTGTCCAATGAGAGGAGGAGCTGCTCTGCAATGCCTTCTGACTGAGCAAAAGATGCAGGAGGCCCAGGAGGGTGGACTCTCACATAAGGAAGCTCTGTTATGGGAGATGTTAGCAAATGGGATAGGCTACCATGGGGGTAGGAACTCACATCACTGCAGGAATCAAGCATCAACTAAACAACCAATTGGTAGATACTGGGATACTGTATCTTTGATTTGCACTCTCCGTGAGTAAATTCAATAGGGGGCTCTAAGGGTCCTTTCCATTGCTGAGTCTCTCTAAAGTCCCCAAATTCTCTCTCTTGTCCAATCACATCACTGATTGCTTGCTGACATTGCTGTCATTCTCAGAAGTCCACAAGCATTCAAAAGCATCACACTGAAATAAATACATGGCACAGGGTGCCATGACATTTTTATGCATTCACCTGGGAAAACAAGAAGCTCCCTTTCAGGTCCATTTTCAGAATTGTGACAAATCTATGAGGAGCTGGATTTAAATCTCGCAGACTCAGACATCTGATCTCAATCACACACAAGGATGAGTTGCTACCCGACCCCTGAGGCATAACAACTTAATTGATCCTCATAAATTAATATGCCAATGATTAGCCACAATTATAAATGTAGTAACTGTAGTTTTTATAGTGTATTTGACCAGTGGTTTCTCGGTCCACAAAGGCCTACCAGGGTAGTCAAATAATAACAGGAGGGTTATTTTCTGAGCAAAGAATCAGAAGAAATAATTTAGAAGAACACAATGTTTAGTGGCACTGCCTGCATTCATGTCAAACTCGTGCTCTTGCCTCAGGAACTGGAAGGCTCAGGTGCAATGTCTCTCTCCCCTGTGCGGGGCAGCTGTGCTCTGCTCACCTCTGCCCGTGTGCCTCTCCTGACTCTGAACTTCCAGGGTTCACTGCCATATTCCCATTTGAGAAACACACATTCATTTGTACATCATCTCAACCTGGGTAGTGGATATTCTCCTTGTCTTGATATGATTCTTCCTCTTTAAAGTGCCTGTATAAATTGGTTCTGCTCCTGTTTGTGTCTTTACATTCAGCTTTAGAAGGGCAATCCTATCATATGTGGATGATATAACTGTGCATCTAAAATGTCCAAAAAATCTATCAATGAGCTATTAGAAATAATCATGCAGTGTGATTACAGGATCGACATCCAAACATGAATTGTATTTGTATATATCAGAAACAGAATTAACATTTCAAGTATAACATATTCTAAATCCATGGATACTAACTTTCATGAATACATATAGTACTACATATATGTCAAGCAAATAATGGTCACTGGACCAAAATATATGCCACATTTAGAAGACAATATATCAATCCTACAGGTTGTCATCTCTATGGTGGTATCTTTGCTGCATATCTAAAACACCATACTCATTTTTTATCAGTCCAGCAACTTCTCTGTCATGTGATGTATGGTAGGGCAAGTAGATCCATGATTATGTGCCTATTGGTGACCTTGTTCATCATAAAGTGGGTTCCGTGGTCCAAAATGTTGCTATCCAGCATCCTGCCACAATAGACTGTAAGCTTGTGGGTAGCACTGCAGACAAAGACAATTCCACACACCAAACTCGCTACCATAGAAAGAAAGAATTGCTGTGTTTTCAATGTGGAAGTGGTATAAGAAGAACATTGGCTATGTGGGCGATTGCTTCCAAGATGGATATTATAGATAAAACTCAAAACCATTCTCTGCTTATGACAACAGCACATCAATCTAAATACTTTATGGCCAAAGGAACAACACTGAGAAGAGACCACTATCCTGACCTTCTTCAAACCAGCAGGAAGTAATACACGACCAGATGATGTCACATGACCAGAAATGTTGCTGGGGATGATTCCTGATTGTCCCATTTCTGGAAAAGATTCTTAAGTAGTATTCCCAATTAAGGAGACGATTAAACGGTAATTTACAGAACCCTCAAAACACGGGGAACAACTTCCTCCTTGACAATTTCTTTGTGACTACAAACAAGGAAACAACAGCAAGGAAAGTCCTGCTTATTGGTCCCATTATTGGGGGTCCAGAGTATAAAAGCCCCCAAAGAGAAGACACCATCAGAATCTGAGAAACTCACCTCTGAACAGAAACCCACCCTCCACACCTGACAAAATGAGCTGCTCCTCTTGCTGCCAGCCCACCTGCTACAGGACCACATGCAGAACCACCTGCTGGAGGCCCACCTGCTGTGGGTCCAGCTGCTGTGGGTCCTGCTGCTGCCAGCCTTGCTGCCGCCCTTGCTGTGGGACCAGCTGCTGCCAGCCTTGCTGCCGCCCTTGCTGTGTGAGCAGCTGCTGCCAGCCTTGCTGCTGTAGCACTCCCTGCTGCCAGCCCAGCTGCTGTGGGTCCAGCTGTGGCGGGTCCTGCTGCTGCTCACCCTGCTGCCAGCAAGTTTGCTGCAGTCCCGTGAATGTCTGCAGAACCTGCTACCACCCCACCTGCTGCTGCGTGCCTGGGTGCATAAGCTATGGCTGCGGATCCAGCTGTGGCCAGCCCTGCTGCTGCTGATCACCTTGCCAGACAACCACCATCTGCACACATATCATCTGGGAACTGATTTGCCATTATGGAAACAAATGGTCTTCCTTCACTTTGCTGGCACCAGCATGCTGGACCATAATTTCTGTGACTCATCTGTTTGGTTACAAGTTTTGAGTCAGCTTGTTGGAGGTCACAGGACTTTGACCTTCCTCCTGTGCATGCAGGTCATGTACCAGTTTTATAATCCTCGATATGGAATTGACCTTGATTTTGAAGTAGGATTACCTAGTTCCTCTAAGTAACTTAGGAAATAAAATTGTCATAACTTTTTCATAGGTTTCTGTAATTGATCAATAATCTTCACAATCATATATTCTTTTTCAGTGTATTCATGGTTTTTGTATCATGCTTTCTTCTTTTATGATCACTTTGAGTTGTCTTTGTAGAATCAGGAGTCTTACTATGTGTTTCTTAATAAATTCTATATCATAATTCATCCGTATTGTGTGTGATTTATTGTACAGAATTCCTGATATAAGGATTTAAATACACATTGCATACTACATGCATTATCCATTCTGAGCATCACAATAGCACCTCCCACATTATTATCTCCAATTTTCAGAACAACAACAACACACAAACAGTTCATTGTGCGATGTCACAAGCTAATAATGAACAGACTCAGATCCAGGACTGGGTCTCCTGTTCTTGCTCAAAGGCACGTACATCTACATCTAAAAGATGTAGGTCTGAGCCCCAGTTACATCTGATTGGCATGCTGTGGTTGCTGTCCTTGCTCATTTATGAATGTCATTGAGCCTGAACCCACCACGAGTCACTCCAGTGAAATCCTGTGTTCCAGATATATTTCTTTCTGCTCTCTTACCTTCAACATAACAATCCCTCACCAAACAATAACTGTTCTCTAGGAGTGCACAATGGCCAGATGATAGTTGTGTCTCCTGACAAAAAGGTGTCTTTCAAAGAGTAAGACCTTCAACCCAGGAGAGCCTAAAGGCATTATGAGACAAGAAACATAGATTCCCAAGTGTGTCACTGGGAGTTAATTTGAGAATGTTCACTCCAACTTCCATCCATCATTTTCTGAACCTGTGGGTTCTACTTTTTAATGGATATATGTGGTCCTACATATATGTCAGACCATATAATGACCATTGGATTGAGGTACATTCCACATCCAGAACACAATATAGCAGGATGTCACCTCTAAGTTGGTGTCTTTGCTGCACATCTAAGAGACCATTTTAATTTCTCATCAAGCTTGCAATTTCTCTGTCATGTGATATATAATAGGATAAGTAGATCCCATGGTCTTGTGCCTACTGTTGACCTTGTTCATCATAAGAGTTGATCCCTTGGTTCAAAGTGATGCTAACCTATGACTTATATACTGTAATCTAGTGGGTAGCACTGCAGACAGAGAAGACAATTCTATGCACCACACATGCAATTATAATAAGGTAGAACTGCTGTTGTCTTTTCAGTGTGGAAGTGGTCTGATGTAGAAAACTAGCCTCCACATGGGGTGGTTAGCTTCGATAAGGGCTCAATACCATTCTCTGCTTATGACAACAGCATGTACAGCAGAGGCAGCAGAGGTGAGAGGGAGCCATGCTATTGGTCCACACCTGCTTCTATTCCTGCCACCATAGCTACTTTGGAATTCCATCATGGCATGTGTGCCTGAAAGTGACTTGTGGGATATTCCTGTGAACTGTTTTAAAAGGTAACACTTTTCCCCAAGCCCTACTCTGCGAGAGCACTGTGGGTTAATCTTGTGGGCCATAAAAGTCCTTTGGAAACCCAATACAGGGAGTCACGTCAGGTGCAAATTCATTCAGAGGAAGTGGTGTCATTCTGATCATATTCTGCAATATTTAGGGTTGACTTATTTGAGGGAGGTGGAGGAAATGGTATAAGAACTGAAGGATAAATGTGTGGGATGCAATCAGAGCATACGTCCTAAACACAATATAAGCAGATCAAATTCAGCACCATATACATATGATCATAACCACACTGAATTGTTTACAGGAATACAAGGTTTGTTTAACATCAAAACATGAATCAATTTTTTAAAAATCATATTTACTAAAAAAAAGAGGAGGCTAATCATATGATTATGTCAATAGGTAAAGAGAAAGCATTTTGTAAATTTAAACACATTTCAAATACAGAATGCCTTAGCAAATAGGAATAAAAAAAACCCTAGTTCCCCTGATGTAAAGAATCTACAGAAAAGACAGAAAGCTTAATATTTAATTATGAAATATGGAGAGCTACAGAGAATACACAAAGAAATCCACTTCACCATTCTATTCAATATTAAAGGGAGGGCCTACCCGTGGACTAAAGAAACAATTTATAAGATAAAAAGGCTGCTGATGGATAAAACCACCATTTTCTGTGGATATGACTGTGTATTCAAAATTTCCAACAAAATTTTATTAGTAAGCTATTTAAAATAATGAGGGAATTTGGTTCCAAGATAAATTCATATACAAATGAATGTTTTTCTGTATGTCAGAAGCAGTTACAAATAAAATTTTATATTATACCATAAATAAGACCATAAAAATAAAATATCTAGGAAAAACTAATGAAAGATAGCCAAGATCCTACAGAGAACAGAATAGTTTGAACAAGCAAGTCTATGAGAAATCTACTGCTAGGCATATATATATATATATATATATATTCCCCCAAAGGAACATTTATATATGTTTGCCAAATGACCGATTCAAAAAAATTCATAGAGATACTATTTTTTGAGTCCCAAACTACAAAAAACCTACATATTTCTCAAGTGGACAGTCAACAAATAAATTGTGTCATATTTATCCAGTGGAAGATTATATACCAACAATAATAAATGAACTACAAATATTTACATTGTTGAATGTCACAATCATAATGTAAAGAAGATCTAAAAGAGTGAAACCAACCTATAGGGTGACAGGTCAAGAGAGTGATTAGCAACCACTGGGGATGCATAAGGGGGTATGATTAGGAGTAAGGTTCATTTCTATTTCTTAACCTGATAGCATTACCACAGGTCTGTTCATTTTGTAATATCTGTCAAGCTGGAAATTAATCATTTGCATACTTTTAAAATTAATAGTATACCTAAAAAAGTTTAAACATATTAGACCTCAAAAATAAACCAGGTAACATCTCAACTAACCTAATTACGTCATAAACTGAGAGAGAGAGAGGCAGGGAGAGAGAAAGAGAATTATAAGAAAATGAGAAAAAAAGGAAAGACAGTAAATGTGTAGTCAGTGACATGAGGTCACTGAATCTGCAGGTTAACAAGGTTAGGACTGGAGTCACCAACTCATTCTGATTTGCCCAAACTACCCCAGTCACACCCCTGGGGAGTCCCGCACCCTGGGAAACCCCTCAGTACTGGGCAATCAGGACGATTGGTCACCCAGGAAGTGAAATGATTGATGCTTTCTCAGTCCCAGCTTCTGTTTCCTCCCACCTGCTTTGGTCCTGCTGTGCATATGCAAGAGAATATGCCAAACATCCTCTACCCAAGTGTCTGTGATCCAACCTGGATACACAGGTGGGGTGGGTGGCTCCAGAGAGATTCCTGTCACAGTCTTGAATCAGGCTTTTGTGGGCAAACAGACTTGGACTCAGGACTCAGGAGTCAATTTAACTCCATGAACATACCAGCATCATGTCCCTCTCACAGGGACACTTCCCAATCTAAGCACAGCCGAATACACAAAACACATGCACTGACCCTCATGAGGCCACGAGGGACTCTCTCATATGACCACAATATGACCAAAGCAGGAATGATTATGTGACCACCTTCCTTTTATCTGAAAAAGTTTCTGTGAGTTATTCTCAATTAAGGAACACATTAAACACTTTCTAAACATTCATATCAGGTAGGAAACAACCTCATCTTTGCATATTTCCCTGTGGTTACCAAAACAACATAAACAAAAAAAAAGGAAAGTCTTACTGATTGGTCCCAACATTGGGGGGCCACTGTAAAAAAAACATGCACGGAGAAGTCCTCAGAATCTGAGAAACTTACCTCTGAACAGAAACTCACCTTCTACACCTGACACCATGTGCTGCTCCACTTGCTGCCAGCCCAGCTGCTATGGGTCCAGCTGTTGTGGATCCAGCTGCTGCTGCCGCCCATGCTGTGTGTCCAGCTGCTGCCAGCCTTGCTGCCGCCCATGCTGTGTGTCCAGCTGCTGCCAGCCTTGCTGCCGCCCATGCTGTGTGAGCAGCTGCTGCCAGCCTTGCTGCCGCCCATGCTGTGTGTCCAGCTGCTGCCAGCCTTGCTGCCGCCCATGCTGTGTGTCCAGCTGCTACCAGCCTTGCTGCCGCCCATGCTGTGGGTCTAGCTGTTGCCAGCCTTGCTGCAACCCATGCTGTGTGTCCGGCTGCTGCCAGCCATGCTGCTGTACAAGCTGGTGTCAGACGACCTGCTACAGAACCTCCCGTTGCCAGCCCAGCTGCTGCTGCCGCCCTTGCTGTGTGTCCAGCTGCTGCCAACCATGCTGCCAGCCATGCAGACGCCCTTGCTGTGGGTCTGCTGCTGCCAGCATCCTGCTGCTGATCACCTCATCAAAGAAACACCTTCTTCATACACCATCTGTTAACTGACTTCCCATTTGGGGAAAAATTCAGTTCCTAGGCCTGGCTGATAACCCGCATGCTCTACTTTAACTTCTGTGACTCATTTGCCTGATACAAACTTATGAATCAGCTGGATGGAGAGCAGAGGACGTCCCCAATCCTCTTCCTCCCGGGTTGGTGGATCATGTGTCAGCTTTGAGCATCCTCAATATGGAGCTACGGTCTCTGCTCTGACTCTGTAGTCAAGGTCTTCACCCTCTCCCTCTGTGTAACTTAGAAAAAGGAATTCTTGTAACTGTTACATAGGTTTTCTGCAACTGCTGAAAATCTTCTCAATCCTGTTTTCTTTTCCCATGCACTTCTACTTCCTGTAATCCTGCTTTCTTCTTCCACAGTCACTCTGAGTTGGCTTCCTGGTTACGGGAAGTTGTACCTCTATTTCTTAATACAGTCTGTTCATTCCACATTGTGTTTGGTTTTATTATAAATCCAGATGTAAGGATTTGCACACCTTTTGCACATCATATGCATGATCCATTCTGAGCTTCATATAGTCCACCCAAAATAATTATCTCCATTCTTCATATGAGAACATCTCACTTGGTCATGTAAGATAGCTGATTTGGACAGACTCAGACCCAGGACTGTATCTTTTGCTTTACTGCTCAATGGCACTTAAGTGTCTATCTCAAGACAAATCAGAGAAAGGCCTGGACTGAGCACCAGCATGATGTTAATTTGAGTGTCTCTGACAGTAGAAGTGATATTCTCCTGTATGCATATGCACATAACACCTATTTACAACGTTCTCCCCAAGTCAGTGTCCACAGCTCAGCTACACAGTAGGGCAGCAAGGCCTGCAGTTCAGAGCTCTCCTGCATGAAGGATCCTTTCCTGTCTCAAGAGCTGTCCAGCCACTCACACTTTTATGGGTATCCAATATTTGGGAATATCCAGTGTGTCCTCATGAGGCAGAGGCTCCTCCAAAGAGATTTGTTCTTCGCTTTCACGTAAATAAAAATTCTTGGATAACCTCATCCTCTGAGTTACCTATAGAATAAAACAAAAGGGAATGAAGCCATTTCCTGCAGAACATTTTAAATTCCCCAACTTCAAGGGAATTTGTCATTCTGATCAAAATATTAGCAAGAGAAGTAAGTTGGGACCTGAGAAATAAGCAACGGGCATGTATGACTTTGAGGAATTCATAAAACCTGAACCTCCTATGGAAACAGAACCATCTCCTTTGAATTGTGAGTCAACTCTGAAGCATTTGAGAGAAATAAAAACCTGTGTCCCAGGATAATTGAAATAATGTGAGAAAGATGAAAAGTTGAAGTGCCTGAGCACTCCCCAGAGTCATGCTGGACAGAGGCTGCTCTGTGGCCCTGAACTAACAATGCTGCCTGAACATGCATTGAGGTAAGGCTTGAGACTGGGTCTCAGAGAAGTAGAAGAGTCTGGAACCTGGATCACCTCCTTGGGAGCAGTAGTGGTGCCTCTGATGAGCTCACTAAGCTGGTATCCGGGACTCGTGCTCCTTCCTGAGACTGTGCATCGGGGATGCTCAGAAGAGGCTTCCAAGACCAAACTTATGGACTGCTGGTCCTTGATGGGTGTTTGGGTGATTAAAATGAGAAACTAGCACAGCCGTGGGCAAACTACGGCCTGCAGGCCGGATCCGGCCCTTATGAAATGAATAAAACTAAAAAAAAAAAAAGACTGTACCCTTTTATGTGATGATGTTTACTTTGAATTTATATTAGTCCACCAAAAACTCCATCCATGCTTCTCTTCCGGCCCTCTGGTCCAGTTTAAGAACCCATTGTGGCCCTCGAGTCAAAAAGTTTGCCCACCCCTGAACTAGCATGTTCTGGGGGACTTACTATTTGCTGGGTATGCCCTCAGTGCTTCAGCTACATATCTTTAATTGTTGAAGAAAGTTTCAGTGCAGGTATAAATGTTTCCATTTTAGATGAGGATATTGAGACTGAGGAGGTAAAGAAATGTCATAGTTTGGTTTCTCTCAGAAGGCACTCTGAAGAAAAGATTCACGTGCATGGAGTGGACTTGGAAAGCACAGGTGTCACTGGTTGGGGAGTGTGGACATGATACAGGAAAGGGGCATATAAGCCAGTATCATTGTGGCCAACTGCAGCTTATGCCTAAGAGAAAATAACAGAAATGATGTAAGCACACACTTGAGGAATTCCCAACTGAGCAATTTGAAGGCGCGTTCTTATAATCCTCTCCAGAAGCAGTGGTTGGGACACACACAGGCAGCATGGCTTCTGTGGATGCAAGAAAGCAGCCCTGAGGCAGAAATTGGCATGAACACACTAAAAACTCGGATCCATGCACTGGGAATTCAATAACTAATGTACACTCTATGATTTTCTCCACTAGCAGGCTAATTGTGTTATTCAGTGTAAATTCACACGTTCGAGAAGAAGAGGACGGAGTAAGAAGAAATGGTAGTGCTGGTAAAGAAGGAGATGTAGAAGGTGGAGAAAATGGGGGTAGAAACAGATGAAGGAGAGAGGGAGAAGAAGAAAAATGAGGGGGAGGAGGAGGAAGAAGAGAAGGAAGAGAAAAGGAAAAAAGGACGAGGTAGAGAAGGAGGAAAAGGGAGAGAGCAGTAGAAAAAAAAAGAGAGGAAGAAAAGAAGGGATCAAAGAAAATGAGAAAGAAAGAAAAAGAAAACACAGGAATTGTATAGTAACTGACAAGAGGTCACCGAATCTATGGTTAACAAGGTTAGGACTGGAGTCACCAACTCATCCTGGTTTGCCCAAACTGCACCAGTCACTACCCTGGGGAGTTCCGCATCCTAGGAAACCCTTTAGTCCTGGAATCTTGGTCACCCAGGAAGTGAAATGATTGATTCCTTCTCATTCCCAGCTTCTGCTTCCACCCACCTGCTTGGTTCTGCTGTGCATATGGAAGAGATTATGCCAAACATCCTCTACCCAAGTGTCTGTGATCCAACCTGGATATACAGGTGGGTTGCTCCAGAGATTCCTGTCAGTCTTGAATCAGGCTTTTGTGGGCAAACAGACTTGGACTCAGGCATGGTGTCAATTTAACCCCATGAATGTACCAGCATCACATTGTTTAAACAGGGACACTTTCAAAACTAAGTAAAGCTGAATACAAAAAACACATGTACTAACCCTCATTAGGCCAGGAGGGACGTTGTCATATGACCAGAATATGATATAAGCAGGAACCATCCTGATGATGGGACCACCTTCCTTTTATCTGAAAACGTTTCTATGACTTATTCTCAATTAAGGAACACATTAAACACTTACTTTCTAAACATTCATATCAGGTAGGAAACAACATCATCTTTGCCTGTTTCCCTGTGGTTACCAAAACAACATAAACAAAAAAAAGGAAAGTCTTACTGATTGGTCCCAACATTGGGGGCCCAGTGTATAAAACCACAGAGAAGAAGAAGTCCTCAGAATCTGACAAACTCACCTCTGAACAGAAACTCACCTTCTACACCTGACACCATGTGCTGCTCCCCTTGCTGCCAGCAACCATGCTGTGGGTCCAGCAGTTGCTGCCGCCCATGCTGTGTGTCCAGCTGCTGCCAGACTTGCTGCCGCCCATGCTGTGGGTCCAGCTGCTGCCAGCCTTGCTGCCGCCCATGCTGTGTGTCCAGCTGCTGCCAGCCTTGCTGCAGCCCATGCTGTGTGTCTAGCTGCAGCCAGCCTTGTTGCAACCCATGCTGTGGATCCAGCTGCTGCCAGCCTTGCTGCAACCCATGCTGTGGATCCAGCTGCTGCCAGCCTTGCTGCTGTCCAAAATGGTGTCAGACTACCTGCTGTAAAACCACCTGCTGCCGGCCTACCTGCTGCTGCCGTCCTTGCTGTGTGTCCAGCTGCTGTCAGCCTTGCTGCTGCTGATTACCTTGTCAAAGAACCACCATCTTCATAAACCATCAGTTAACTAACCTGCCATTTTGCAAACAAATGCATTTCCTTGACTTGGCTGACAACCAGCATGCGGTACCTTAATTTCTGTGACCTGTGTGCCCGATACAAGCCTCTGAATCAGCTGGATGGAGAGCAGAGGACGTCCCCAATCCTCTTCCTCCCGCGTATGTAGAACATGTGTTAGCTTAGTGCAACCTCGATATGGAGCTATGGTCTCTGCTTTGACTCCGTAGTCCAGGTCTCCATCCTCTGTGTTACTTAGAAAAGGGAATTCTTGTAACTGTTACGTAGGTTTTCTGCCACTGCTGAAAATCTTCTCAATCCTGTTTTCTTTTCCCATGCACTCCTAGTTCCTGTAATCTTGCTTTCTTCTCCCACAGTCACTCTGAATTGGTTCCCAAGAAACAGAAAGTTGTACCTCTATTTCTTAATAAAGTCTGTTCATTCCACATTGTGTTTGGTTTGATTATAAATCCTGATGTAAGGATTTGCACACCTTTTGCACATCATATGCATGATCCATTCTGAGCTTCATATAGTCCACCCAAAATAATTATCTCCATTCCTCACATGAGAACATTTTACATGGTCATGTTAGAAAACTGATTTGGACAGACTCAGACCCAAGACTGTATCTTTTGCTTTACTGCTCAATGGCACTTAAGTGTCTATCTCAACACAAATCAGAAAAGGCCTGGACTGAGCACCGGCAAGATTTAATTTGAGTGTCCCTGACAGTGGAAGTGATATTCTCCTGTATGCATATGCACATAACACCTATTTACAACGTTCTCCCCACATCAGTGTCCCCAACTCAGCTTCATGGTAGGGCAGCAAGGCCTGCAGTTTAGAGCCCTCCTGGATGCAGGATTCTTTCCTGTCTCAGGTTCTGTCCAGCCACTCTTGCATCATGGGCATCCAATATTCGGGAGTATACAGTGTCCTCACCAGGAAGAGGCTCATCTAAAGAGAACTAACTCTTCTTTGCTTTCAAAGAAATTATATTCTTGGATGGCCTCAATCCCAAGTTACCTATAGACTAGAATAAGAGGGAATGAAGTGATTTCCTGCACTTCATTTTACATTCCCCAACTTTAAGGCAATTTGTCATCTTGATCAGAATCTTAGCAAGAGAACTTAGTAGGGACCTGAGAAATAAGCAATGGGCACGCATGACTGTGAGGAATTCATAAAACCTGAACCTCCTATGGAAACAGAACCATCTCCTGTGTATTGTGAGTCAATACTGAAGCACTTTACAGAAATAAAAACCTGTGTGCCACGGGAATTGAAATATTGTGAGAAAAATGAAAAGTCGAGGAGCCTGAGCACTCCCCCTAGTCATGCTGGACAGAGGCTGCCCTGTGGTCCTGAACTAACAATGCTGCCTGAACATGCATTGAGGTAAGGCTTGAGACTGGGTCTCAGAGAAGTAGAAGAGTCTGGAACCTGGATCACCTCCTTGGGAGCAGTATTGGTGCCTCTGATGAGCTCACTAAGCTGGTATCCGGGACTCGTGCTCCCTTCTGAGACTGTGCATCGGGGATGCTCAGAAGAGACTTCCAAGACCAAACTTACTGACTGCTGGTCCGTGATGGGTGTTTGGGTGATTAAAATGAGAAACTAACATGTTCTGAGTGACTTACTATTTGCTGGGTATGCCCTCAGTGCTTCATCTACATATCTTGAATTCTTGAAGAAGTTTTCAATGCTGTTATAAATGTTCCATTGTACAGATGAGGATATTGAGACTGAGGAGGTAAAGACATGTCATAGTTTGGTTTCTCCCAGAAGGCACTCTGAAGAAAAGATTCAAGTGCATGGGGTGGACTTGGTTACTGCAGGTCTCACTGGTTGGGGAGTGTGGACTTGATGCCAGAAAGGGGCACATTAAGCCAGTATCTTGTGGCCAATGCACCTTATGCCTAAGAAGAAATATCAGAAACGATGCAAGCACACACTTTAGGATAACCCAACTGAACAATTTGGGAGCCGCCTCCTTATAACCGTCTCCAGAAGCAGTGGTTGGGACAAACACAGGCAGCATGACTTCTGTAGTGGCAAGAAAACAGCCCTGAGCCCTAACCGGTTTGGCTCAGTGGATAGAGCTTCAGCCTGCGGACTGAAGGGTCCCAGGGATGAATCCTATTAAGGGCATGTACCTTGGTTGCGGGCACCTCCCCAATAGGGACTGTGCAGGAAGCAGCTGAATCGATGTTTCTAACTCTCTATCTCTCACCGTCTCCCTCCCTCTCTGTCAAAAATCAATAAAATATATTTTTAAAAAAAGAGAACAGCCCTGAGGCACAGAGATGCAGTCTACTGGCAGAAATGGGCCTGAACACACAAAGATTCAAGATCCATGTGCTGGGACTTCAAAAACCCATCTACAATCTATGATTTTCTCCACTAGCATGCAGTATTGTATTATTCAGTGTAAACTCACACTTTCTAGAAAAGAGGACAGAGTAAGAAGAAGAGGGAGTGCTGGTGAAGAAGGAGATGTAGAAGGTAGAGAGGATGAGGGGGAGGAACAGGTGAGGGAGAGAGAGAGAAGAAGAAAAAAGGAGGAGGAAGAAGAGAGGGAGAAGAAAAAGGAAGGAAGGAGGGGGTAGAGAAGGAAGAAAAGGGAGAGAGAAGATAAAAGAAAAAGGAAGGAATAAGAGAAGGGATCAAAGAATATGAGAAAGAAAGAAAAAGAAAACATGGTAATTATATAGTAACTGACATGAGGTCACCGATCTCCTGGTTAACAAGGTTAGGACTGGAGTCACCAACAAATCCTGTTTTACCCAAACTGCCCCAGTCACACCTCTGGGGAATCCTGCATCCTGAGAAACCCTCCTGTCCTGGGCAATCAGGACTCTAGTTACCCAGGAAGTGAAATGATTGATGCCTTCTCATTCCCAGCTTCTGCTTCCACCAACCTGCTTTGGTCCTGCTGTGCATATGGAAGAGATCAAACATCCTCTACCCAAGTGTCTGTGATCCAACCTGGATACACAGGTGGCGTGGGTTGCTGCAGAGAGAGATTCCTGTCACAGTCTTGAATCAGGCTTTTGTGGGCAAACAGACTTGGACTCAGGCATGGTGTCAATCTAAACCATGAACATACCAGCATTATGTCGTTTAAACAGGGATACTTCCAAAACTAAGTAAAGCTGAATACACAAAACATGGATACTGACTCTCAAGAAGTCACAAGGGACTCTACCATATGACCAGAATGTGATCAAAGCAGGAACCATCCTGATGATGGGACTACCTTCCTTTTATCTAAAAACGTTTCTATGACTTATTCTCAATTAAGGAACACATTAAACACTTTCTAAACATTCATATCAGGTAGGAAACAACCTCATCTTTGCATATTTCCCTGTGGTTACCAAAACAACATAAACAAAAACAAGGAAAGTCTTACTGATTGGTGCCAACATTGGGGGCCCAGTGTATAAAAACCCCAGAACGGAAGAAGTCCTCAGAATCTGACAAACTCACCTCTGAACAGAAACTCACCTTCTACACCTGACACCATGTGCTGCTCCCCTTGCTGCCAGCCCAGCTGCTCTGGGTCCAACTGTTGTGGATCCAGCTGTTGCTGCCGCCCATGCTGTGTGTCCAGCTGCTGCCAGCCTTGCTGCCGCCCATGCTGTGTGTCCAGCTGCTGCCAGCCTTGCTGCCGCCCATGCTGTGTGTCCAGCTGCTGCCAGCCTTGCTGCCGCCCATGCTGTGTGTCTAGCTGCTGCAAGCCTTGTTGCCGCCCATGCTGTGTGTCCAGCTGCTGCCAGCCATGCTGCCGCCCATGCTGTGGATCCAGCTGCTGCCAGCCTTGCTGCAACCCATGCTGTGGATCCAGCTGCTGCCAGCCTTGCTGCTGTCCAAAATGGTGTCAGACCACCTGCTGTAAAACCACCTGCTGCCGGCCTACCTGCTGCTGCCGCCCTTGCTGTGTGTCCGGCTGCTGTCAGCCTTGCTGCTGATGATCACTTTGTCAAAGAACCACCATCTTCATAAACCATCAGTTAACTGAACCGCCATATTGGAAACAAATGCATTTCCTTGACTTGGCTGACAACGAGCATGCTGTACCTAAATTTCTGTGACTCGTGTGCCCGATACAAGCCACTGAATCAGCTGGATGGAGAGCAGAGGACGTCCCCAATCCTCTTCCTCCCGTGTGTATGGAACATGTGTCAGCTTCGTGCATCCTCAATATGGAGCTATGGTCTCTGCTTTGACTCCGTAGTCCAGGTCTTCATCCTTTCCCTCTGTGTAACTTAGAAAAGGGAATTCTTGTAACTGTTACATAGGTTTTCTACAACTGCTGAAAATCTTCTCAATCCTGTTTTCTTTTCCCACGCACTCCTAGTTCCTGTAATCCTGCTTTCTTCTTCCACAGTCACTTGGACTTGGCTTCCTGGTTACGGGAAGTTGTACCTCTATTTCTTAATAATTCTTTGCATTCCATATTGCGTTTGGTTTTATTTACAGCATCCTCGTGGATGGATTTACACCAGCACTACCTTACATGTTGCACGTCATATGCATAATTCATTCTGAGCTTCATATAATCCCCCCAAATAATTATCTCCACTCCTCACATGAGAAACATTTCATATAGTCATGTTAGAAAGCTGATTTGGACAGACTCAGACCCAAGGACTGTATCTTTTGCTTTACTGCTCAATGGCACTTAAGTGTCTATCTCAACACAATCAGAAAAGGCCTGGACTGAGCACCGGCAAGATGTTAATTTGAGTGTCCTCTGACAGTGGAATGATATTCTCCTGTATGCATATGCACATAACACCTATTTACAACTTCTCCCCACATCAGTGTCCCCACCTCAGATACATGGTAGTGCAGTAAGGCCTGCAGTTTAGAGCTCTCCTGGATGCAGGATCCTATCCTGTCTCAGGTCCTGTCCGCCACTCACACATCATGGGCATCCAAATTCGGGAGTATACAGT